TGGGAAAGATTGAAGGCAAAAGGAGAAGAAGACGGCAGAGGATGAGATGGTTAGATAGCATCACTGAAGCAATGAGCATGAAACTGAGCAAACTCAGGGAGGCAGTGAAGGACAGGAAGGACAGGAAGGCCTAGCACAATATGACTTAACGACTGAACAACAACAGGAGCATAAAGCCCAGGTCACAGGAAGTAATTGTCCCACTTTGTCCTGGTCAGTTCTGGGAACTACAGTCTAAAAAGAACACTGGCAAACTGGAAGAAAAACTATAAAAAGAACTGGCAAACTGGCTACCAAGATAGTGAGAAGACTGAAAAAGAAAAGATGCTGAACCTGAAATCAGTAAACATTAGCAGACATAACCAAAGCAATATTTTGGGTGCACAATAAAATAAGGTAGAATCTATTATAGTAGCAGCTAAATTGCAGAAAATGAAGTACAGCAGGGAAGGGAATAAGCATTAAGGAACAAGTTCTCTTTGTCCAGACTGCTGTGCTATACATATTTCCAGAGAGAAAAGCAAGTATAACTGTATGATCAATGACAAGGCTGTTCTTTTCCTAAATCAAACAGTTTGTTCCTAATAAGGTATGCAGAAAAAGGTGACGTAATCTATGTAAACTAACAAGATAAATTGTTTGCTTGCCTGTAAACTTTTGCCTTCTCTAAGAGAACATTGTATAGCTACAGAGCAATTATACAAAAAACAACAACTTCAAAGCACTTTTCAGTTGTTGGTTATTATTACCTATAAATTGGGATAAAGGAAGGAAGTTTTTCCTATAGTTCTGGCATCACAAACAGAATGCTGCGATCAGTGGAGAGCCACTGAATTAGCAACAGATACTACTGCTGATTTCAGCAAGTTCTCGCCTCAGAGTTTTGCTCAGAGATTCCAACATCTAACAGGCAGATGCAGTTTGTTAGGGAGAAGACCAAATTCAGCAGAGGTCTAGCACTGGTATGTTTAGTCTAGGCCCTGTCTAGGGAGACAAGGGATGTGTTAGTGGTCTTCAAGTATCTAAAGGATTGTCATACAGAAAAGAAGACAGAACCAGGGTTCTACAGGTAAGTAGACTCAGGTTAGCTACTCAGAAGAATTTGCTGATGGTAAGTGTCAAACAGTAGAAACGGTTGTCTCACAAAGTATGCTTCCTTTCACTGGACGACTTCAAATAGGCTAGCAAATCCTGTTTAGCAAATCCTGCATGGAGTTAGACTAGATGCCTTTGAAGCATATTACAACTCTAATTCTATGATACACTATAGGTTTAAGCTATCTCCACATAATACAAAAGAGTAACTCAGCAAGAGCAGTTAAGTGATCTGTAATGTACCCTGCATTAATTTGCTAGTACAGTATATCAAATAGAAGTTACACCTTTCATCTTACACAGTTCTCTAATAATACTTCTAAATTGTACTGGAATATTAATCACAGATACAGATACCTAACCTGTGTGATAATAAAGGAATATAAAAGTCGGTGAGTGTCAATAAGCATGTGGATGGAAGTGACTCTCAATATTGTATACCTGGGTTTTCAATGCGTTTTTTACAAAGTTATCTTCTTTTGGAGCTTTTGCTAAAATTGTTCAACAATGGTTCTTCAGTAAATTTAGAAATCATGGGAACTGGCTAACACCCCACCCCACCTCATAGAATAGAAGTTAATGGACAATTTCTTCAGTGTATGAAAATAAGTGGAACCCATTAAAGATGTGTTGGGACTGAGATTTTTAAGTTGTTCATAAATGAACTTGACTTGAGGATAAGGGTGAACTGGCCAACTTTAAAGGTGATACTAAGTATTCATGGTGGTGAAAACCAAGGCTGTGAAAAGTCTCAGGAGAATTGCTTTAAATCAGTGTTCTTAAAAAGAAAGACGATGGTCCTTAAATGAAGATGTAAAAACTTTTTCAGAGCAGCTATATTATCTCAGATAATTCGTCAGAAATGGGTGACAAAACATTAGTCTTAATAAGTGTAGCTTCATTTTGAAATTTTCCCCTCATAGTTTAGATGTCTTTTTATATACTTAATTTCAGTTTTTTCAGTTCTATTTTTTAATAAACTGATTAGGAACACCTGAAAGTAAAACGAGTACAAACGCGATAAACAATCTATTGTTTCTGGTTTTAGTTTTAATATTCCTATCCGTATTTCAGGAAAAAAATTTTTGGTTAGCGCTGATTGTAGGGAATAGAAATTAAATACGTAAAACCATGAATTAGTATGTTAGGAACAATATAATCTTCCATACGCTATTCCAAGTATGAAATTAAATACATAAAGAAATGACGCGCTGTTATCGTAGAGATGTACATTAGAAGACTTCGATGGAGCAGGGTAACTACTGTTTTAAGAAGTATTACAATGAAGTATTACAACTTAACGGGGGGGGGGGAAGAAATCCCTTTGCCCAATACTTACAGAACTTG